CACTTCCTAGTCTACTTGAATGACCCTTACTTTCATGAGACTGTTAAACAAAGTTAAATATGACTTTGTTCATCATTAAGTTCAAACAAGAAATTTCTTTTTATTTCATCGGATTGTTGAGCCAATGTTCAAATTGCGGCCTCCAAAATGGTGAAAACTCATTTTGAAAGTCTGTAAACCCATAAGTGCAAATCATGCGAACGACGTGTCTAGAATTAGGTGTAACGCTGAATCAAATATTTTCCTCGGTTATTTATATCGAATTTATGTATATGTTTATCTAGTTAATGCTTATTGCTTTATTGCTGGAGGAGTTTGTTGCTTAGCGTGTTCATTTTGGGACGGGGACATTTAAGCAAATAAATTTGAAACTATGAATTGCCCCCTGTATAGTTGAATGAGGACATAAACATCACATCTAGATTTCAATTTGATTAACTGTGTCTATTGCTGTTATTACCTGTTTCGTAAATGCGTTGACAATCAAGGTTGTTTCTGGTTGCTACCATGGCTGAGACGTTGTTGGCCTTTTCAGACAAAGTTTATGCCTAAATGAGGAGCGAAAAATTCTACCTGTTGTAGAAGTTGGCCAATGGCCAGCTACTATGTAATCAGAACGACAACTACAACACTTCTGATGCACAAAGTTCAAAAATTAAACTCGCCACTGCGATCTGAAGTTGGCACTGGTTTCGCTACTCTGTCACAAAGCCAGTGCTGTAGTTAGAAACATTCTTCCTCATGAGGAAGTGTCTCAGCCAGCTGCGGCCTCTTTATCCATACACGTTAAGAATCAGTGGGACTGAAATTACCATTGTCAGTACAGAGCATGGTTCTAATGCACACGTACAGACATTCTGTTGGCTTCGTTCGGTGACTTCTGCGTTTCATTGCGATGCAGGTGGACAACTTTACGGGGCCTGACACTGTGCGACAGCCTTGTAGACAGCTGTCCAAAGGAAAGCTCTGATTCTACAAAAATTAACATAAAGTTTTGCTACGGTAAAATGTGAAATTCATACTTTTCAATTCATTCTTGACCAAGTTTTCATTGCGATTTTCGTCGTTCTCATTCGAAGACACGTCATATTTTCCATAATTGATCGCTTGTCGAACAATCTTCATATCTTCCTATTTCATGGATATTAGAAAAAAAAACGATAAATATTGAATCGCATTTGCACATGCACAGTTTTCAGTTAATGCATAAGCATTTGCTA